TTTGATCAGGAATGGGTGTTGGATTTTATCAAATGCCTTTTCTGCATCAATTGATATGATCATGTGGTTCTCCTTTGTTTTATTTATGTGGTGGATGCTTTTCCCCATCCTTAATTTGAGTACCTTCCAACCTGATGGGCTTATCTTCTGGCACTATATCAGACAGTGTTTCACTGCTATTCATAATGTTTTCAGTGGCTAAATTTTTTCAGAAGTGAACTGCCTCTTACTTCTTTCTAGTCTGTCTTAGTCTGCGAGCTCTACTGTAACTTGTCAACCATATGGTTTAGGGGAAAACTTGGTGGTCTGTAGACAACAGGATGAAATATCGAAGTTTAGTGGGAATAAGAACTTGAGAAAGTTGTGGGCTTGTGGGCCACAGTACATTATTGCGTGTTTAAGATTTTGAGGTGGAGAACTTTGAAGATAATGAAAACCAGATAGATGATGTGAAGTAGAGGCAGAGAGGTCTTTGGAGTGAGGTTACGAAAGTGAGAGGCTCAGGTTTTGCATGGAATGATTATACCACTGAGAAGTAATGGCTAAGAGCATGGACTTTGGAGACAGATTATTTGAGTTTGAATCTAAGCTCCATCATGTTACTAGTAGTGTGACCCTGATTAATTTACTTAACCTCTTCTTGCTTCAGTGTTCTAACCTGAGAACAGGGATGATAATGATGGAGGTAATTTCTTACAGGCTTGTTTTGAGCATTAAATGAATTGATCTGTGTGAAAGGTTTTGGATATTGCCCGGTACATAATGAACATAATGTAAGTAAAAGCTGTTATATCAACTTTGGAATTAGTCAGGGTAGTAAAGGGTAGTTATGTGGATGGGGGTGATAGAAAGTGGTATAACCAGCATGATGGAAAGAATCTCAAAGAAGAAGAAAAAGTATGCTCCTCTCCAGTATGGCTCTACCTACCTTTCTCACTTCATGTCTCACTACATTTTCATCTCTAAGTCCCTCTGAAACCCCCATGATAGACTACCCATTAGCCATTGCCATCTAGTTGATTCTGACTCATGGGGCAGAGTACAATTGCCCCCATAGGGTTTCCAAGGCTGTGATCTTTAAGAAGCAGACTGCTGCATCTTTCCACAGAGCAGCTGGTAGGTTCAAACTGCCAACATTTTGGGTGGCAGTCGAGCACTTAATTACTGTGGCACCAGGGCTCCTTCCATGACACAATACAGTGGACTTTATAAAATGACCATGCAGGCTTGTGGAATTCTGAGCATTGTTAGGTTGTTGTTATGTACTTTCGAGTCACTTCTGACTCAAAGTGACCCCATGCATAATAGAATGGAACACTGCCCGATCCTGCACTGTCCTCACAGTCATTGCTATGTTTGAGCCCATTGTTGCAGCCACTGTGTCAATCCATCTCCTTGAGGGTCTTCCTCTTTTTCACTGACCCTTTACTTTATCAAGCATAATGTCCTTCTCCACGAACTGGTCCCTCTTAATAATATGTCCAAAGTATGTGAAACAAAGTCTCACCATCCTCCCATCTAAGGAGTAGTCTTCTGGCTGTACTTCTTTCAAGAAAGATTTGTTCATTATTCTTTTATAGCAGGTAGAATAAGAGTGCTTTATACCTAGTGAGGCCCAATAAATATTTGACAAATTGAACCTAAATCTTCGGAACTTCCTTGAAGTTTCCATTTCTGTTGGTATTGGATGCTTGCTGGCCCACTTCTGAGTCTGCAGATGAAATTTATTTCTCTAATAAAGAAAACTTGCCATGTCAAAAAAGCTGATAGAAGCAACTTTTTCTGCTTTTGGCCTTTACACCTTATCTCTATGAGTCAAAAGGAAGAAAAGCTCAGTCCTACTTAGTCTGATTGCTTTCTGCTCACCCTATCAGATCAAATGCCAACATAGTAGTCCCTTTCTTGTCTGAGCATATCATGGTCAGCTGCTGTTCTTCTCCTTCTGCAAAGAATTCTATGCCTTCTCTGTCTGGTCCAGTCCATTCTATCTTTCATACCTCATATCCTGTTTTCTTCTCTAGCCTCTCTGGACACCCTAATTTCTCCCCTCTTTGATTTAACCAAACCCAAACCAAACCCACTGCCATTGAGTTGATTCCAATTCATAGTGTACCCCATTGGGTTTCCAAGGCTGTAGATCTTTATGGAAGTAGACTGCCTCATCTTCTTCCTGCTGAGGCCAGTGGGTTTGAATCAATCTTCTGGTTAGCAGCCAAATGCCTTACCCACTGCACCACCAGAGTTCCTTCCCTCTGATAAGTCATTTTATTTATAGTCATTATCTGTCATTTTGGTTCTTAATTTTCTTTTGCTCTTGTGTTTTCTTTTTGGAAGGGTATGTTGTGTTTCTCTGCAATGGTAGTAACCTCATGGGAGATAACCTTGTCTTACACTTCTTCATATCCTTCTAATTGTAGCCCAAAGCCATGCACATAACAGGTAGGTAGTTAAGAAATGCCTGTTGGATTGATTGAACTTTACCTAGAAGTTAATGAGAAGAAATGTAAGGGCTTTTTAAAATAAATTATATCCTCTATTTCTATTCCTACCAGGTCACCTATCACCTTGAAATGAGCTTCTTTGAAGTATATAATGAAAAAATTCATGACCTTCTGGTTTGCAAAGGTGAAAACGGGCAGAGGAAGCAACCTGTAAGAGTAAATCAATTTATTAGTTGTCTTTGACTTCTCTGTTCATAATGCATGGGATTAGATGAAGTTTTAAGATGATCAGGCTTAAATTTTTCCTGAATTGCTATTGTATGATTAGCAAATGATTAGGATTAACAGTCTAACTTTGTTATTTAGTAAATAAGCTGAGCATCACTATTAGAAATAAAATTACTTATTGGAATACCTCTTTTTATTTTAATCAAGTGTTGTATAAAAGATTTAGTTAGAACACTGAAATCAAACATCTAACGCCTAATCATCTGTAAAGCCAAGAAAGCAGTAAAAGTTTTTAAAATCTTTTTATTTGTAATTGTGGAGTATGCATTTCAGTGGCTTATTTAGCAAATTTGATATTTTACAGAAAATCTTTTCTGTGAGTGTTTGACAAATACATAGGCTTCTGTGTATATGTGTGTATATGTATATGTGTATATATATATATATATATATATATATAATATGCAAACTGCTACTTGAATTGAAAATTTTTAATTTTCAAAAGAACTTTGGAGCACAGAACACTTAATTCTAACATCAGTTGACTTGCCCAGTTTACTCTTGGCAAAACTCAAGGAACTTAAAAATAAAGCCTGTCATTGTCTTCTATGACTTCTACGTGTTTTATAATTTCTGGTCACAAAGTTTAAAATTTATAATGTAAAAACAAAGAAAATTTTAAATGTCTGAAATTTAGTAAACATGTTTATAGAGCTACTTAAAAGCATATAAATAATAGCTACTGAAGGTTAATTAAGAAAAAAACTGTAAGTCATCTGATGTTATAGTGTATTATTGCATATTGTGCCATTTGTGGTGTTGAGATAGTTTCTTAATGTCTTACAGATTTGTTTTTGTGAGAAACTTTATATTTATTTCTGGATATTTGTTTTTGTGAGAAACTTTATATTTATTTCTGGATATAAGAAAGATCTCTTTATCTTAAACTCAAAATAAAGAAAAAATAATAATTTAAAGTTACATTTATTATGAAATATTTATCATACACTTAATGGTGCTATTATTTACTTCTACTAGCTGAGAGTACGAGAGCATCCTATTTCTGGTCCTTATGTTGAAGCACTGTCAATGTAAGTGTTTGGTTCTCAAGTGCAACGAGGAGGGAAAATAAATGAATAGAGTAAATGCTATTTTCCCATAATCCTTATTTTATTATCATTTACCTCCCCTGCTTTGAAACCCTGAATAACTATTTAGCCTTCTAACCTTACTAATATTAAGTTCAATCTCCTTTCTCTTTTTAAATAGAGTGCTCCATGTTTTTATCTTCGTATTTTTCACAGCATCTACTAAGTGCCTGGCACAGAGTATTAATTATACTGAGTATGAAATAAGTATTTGATTTTTCTCTCCTCCACCCTCTTTGTTCTCCATTAAGTTAAACCTTCCCTCTCGACCTGCTTTGTGTACCTACCTATTACTTTAAGATTAAGAGAGATGGTACTAAGATGAGCTCAAAGTTGTTTTATACATACTAAGAGTCATTTGTCTTTCAACACTCTGAATGCTTTTCTCAAAGGAAAGAAAAAGAGATTGGGTATGAGTTCAGATTCGTTTATTAAATCTAGGATTTTGTTGAGACCCATGTGTTTGTGGATGTTGGCACACACGTAAAGAAAAAATTTTGATTTCATGATTATAGATTTGAATATCGTAATGTTAAGATGCTAAGATATTTCATTGTATTAAGAAAAATCTTACTTTTTGGTACAATTAAAATGTTGTGTTTAGAGGAGGCAAATTTATAGAGGCCAGAGTTTATTAATGGTTACTGGGGGAAAAGGAGAGGAAAAGGAGGAGTCATTTATTTTGGAGCAATTGAAGGCAATAGAAAAATTTGGAAGTAGATGGTGTTGATGGTTGCCAAGCATGATGAACATGATTAATGTCACTGAATTGTAGATGTATAAAAATTGAAATGGCAAATGTTTTGTTATATATATATATTTTACCACACACAGAAAACCATTATTTTATTTCCTTCCTTTTATGAATGGGATAAATGAAATACTCTGTGAGAATTAGTACAAAGGTTATTATGAGAATAAGAGTATCATCATCAGTAAAAACCTTTTTTTTTTTTTTTTTTTTAACTTTTTAAAAATAGGAATGTTGTCAGCTCTTACTCTGATATCCAGGTAAGATTGAATATCTGTATTTTATCTTCTCATGAGATAGAAAGATCATAATAATAAATATTCATAAGAATATTTCTCTTTAATTGCTGGTTGCATAAATAGAAGATTAATCTTGCTAATTTACCAAGAACTTCTTTTGTTAAACTTTAATCAAAAGCATTGTTCTTCCAAATTAAAAAAACAAAATTGACTATTATGTCAGTTTTGACTTATAGCAATAGCCTTTTAAAGGCATTATTTCCTGATTCAGATTTCTGTGACAGAAGAGAAAAAAAAGGCAATGGGAATACAAATTATTAAAAGATAAGCACTTATTAATAATCTCATTTTATAAACTAATTATAAATGTGTCTATGTTACCAGATGTGCTTACTTAGCTTTGTTGTTCTGTAATTTGTTGTTCCAACAAATTATAGCCTGCAGCTTTTACCTCCTTCCTTTCTTTATTATTAGAGTTGGCTAGAACTGGGAAATAAACAGAGAGCAACTGCTGCTACTGGTATGAATGATAAAAGCTCCCGATCTCATTCCGTTTTTACCCTGGTTATGACCCAGACCAAGGTATTTTTTTGGTGATTATTTTATTACATAAGACAGTAAATACATTTAAATTTCATAATTATCTTATTTTCCTCTTTATATCAAGAATTTAAAGTACAGTCATATAAATATGTAAGTTGTTGTTGTTGTTGTTATGTGCCGTCGAGTCGGACCCAACTCATAGTGACCCCTCCTTGGGTTTCCGAGGTGATATCACTAAGGAAGTAGATTGCCCAACCTTCCTTCCGAGGAGTGGCATATGTAAGTGGAGTTGGGTTTTTGAAAGTATATACAGATACGCGATGCTTACCATCCATGTTAACGTTCTGAGAAGTAGGACATTATGTGAGTTGGACACTGCAGGGCTTTTAGGCACACTGGTCTAGGGGCCGCTGTGCAACACATGGCCTGGGCAGCTCTCTCTGGGCACATCTCAGGTGAGCACTCAGCTGGGTGCTGCATAGCTGTCACTGCCTTCTCTGCTATATCAGCTTTAGGAAAGGCCAGCTTGCCCATAAGAACCTGCCTAGGGAGAGGACAGGGTAAGTAAGCTAAGGGGGCTGAGGGCACCTGAGCCAGGGCTGGGGCACCCGAGGTGCCTTCCTATCCATTGATAGTATATGGGACCACACTGGGCAAAACATGGGGACTAGAACCACTCAATCATGGGAGCTGGACCAGGGTTGGGAGTTTGGGCCTGGGCCTCCATCACCACAGACTAGGTAGCTTCCGGGCTACTTACAGCAGATGGACGGAAGTGGGCTCTGACCTTAAGACGAGGATCTGGCATCCTGGTACTCAGAATACCTGGGTGCCCTGGTCTACTGATGTATATGTAATCAGATGCTCAAATGGATGTTAAGTGATGGATAACTGAATAACTTTTGGTATATAACGGCAGTGTATTATTCTCATTATTTTTTAAATTGGTAATGCACGATAATGGTAGAGTATTTGGAAAAACGTGAAAAAGTAAAAAGATTAAAAGAAAAAACTCAGCCATGGGTTCCACTGCTCATATAAAACCTCCCTAAATGTGTTGTTATATAATCTTTCAGTTGTTTTATTATTATATTTAAAGAAATTTGCAAAATCTGCAATAATTTTATGCTATTAAAATTCTTTGCAAAGATCATTTTTAGTAACTATATAATATTTCATTGCCTATTACAGTTCCTTAAGTTTTTCTCTGAGAAGTTTGTTGTTTTTTAGATGTTTTGATATTAAAATGCTGGCATAAACAACACATTTGTGCATGAAGCTTTTTCTTTGTGACTCTTTCCTTAATACATCTGGATACTTGTGGGGTTTTAGTCTTTAAAGTCATTTCTTTTATTTTGGCATAATCCAACCATTGTTCAATGAATATTTTAGTAGAATATGTGAATATTTATGCATTATGAAATTATCATAGATTCTAGAAGGAATACTTTTAAAAAAAGGAATGCTTTTAAAAAAAGGAATGCTTGGTAATCTTGAAGATGTATATTGATAGCAAGTCACTGAAAAACTTAAGATTATTTTAATATCATTTTGCTACAGACAGAACTTGTAGAAGGGGAAGAACATGATCACAGAATCACGAGCCGCATAAATCTAATAGATCTGGCAGGCAGTGAGCGCTGCTCTACAGCTCACACTAGTGGAGATCGGCTGAAGGTAAATGTGTTTTTCTCATTTTGATGCAACTTATTCCTGAGGACATTACTTTCAGGAGATTACAAACTGAGTAAACTTTCCAAAAAAAAGTATCTTTATCTGTAGCCTACGGAATACATTGCTGTGGTTTAAGGATGGATGCATACACTGGTTATGATTATTTGTCAAAGAAATATTTTAGTAAATTTTGAGTCATGAGATAATGGAGTCATGAGTTTATGGAACAAAATACTTATTCAGTCTTTATACAAAGGGAGAAGTACATTTTGTGAAATTAGTTTATTGCTGAGTAGTTATTAGAAACTTAATTTTTGAATTTTTTATTTTATATATAGGAAGGTGTGAGTATTAACAAGTCCTTGCTAACTTTGGGAAAGGTTATATCTGCACTCTCTGAACAAGCGAACGGAAAGAAAGTTTTTATTCCTTATCGTGAATCTGTTCTTACATGGCAAGTATCTTTTGACGTAACATATAATTAATAATATAGACTGACTTTATGTAATGCAGAGATAGAGAAAGAATATAGCCTAGTGATTAACAATACATGGCAAGTATCTTTTGAAGTAACATATAATTAATACTATAGACTGACTTTATGTAATGCAGAGATAGAGAAAGAATATAGCCTAGTGATTAACAATACAGACTCTAGAACCAAACTGTCTGGATTTGACTTTCAGCTCTACTTCTTACAAGCTCTGTGACTTTGGACAAATCACTTAACACTCTGAGGCTCTGTTTCCTCATCTGTAAGATGGGGATAGTGTCAACAACTACTTTAGGGTTGTGTTGTTGTTGTTATGTGCCGTCCAGTCGGCCCGACTCATAACGACCCCTCCTTGGGTTGCCAAGGCAGTATCACTACGGAAATAGATTGCCCCATCTTCTTTCCCCAGATCAAATGATTAATATAAAACTCTTAACACATGTTGTTGTTGTTGTTGTTGTTATGTGCCCTCAAGTCAGACCTGACTTATAGCAACCATTCCTTGAGTTTCGAGGCAGTATCACTATGGAAGTGGATTGCCCCATCTTCTTTCCGAGTAGTGGCTGGTGGATTTGAACCGCCAGCCTTCTGGTTAGCAGTCAAGTGCCTTAGGCACTACGCTACCAGAGCTCCCAAAGAGACACCCGGCTACCTGGAGGGGAGCTGCCGGTGGGTTTGAACCGCCAGCTTTGGGTGCGGCAGCTGACTTCCCAAGGCCCTGAGGCTATTCCCTAGGGCCTCTTAATGTATAGTATGTGCTGTATGAGTATAAGCAACTATTATTATACTTATTAGTGCCTAAATTTGTGAATCGGTAGCTCTGGTGGCATAGTGCCTAAGGCATTTGACTGCTAACCAGAAGGCTGGTGATTCAAACCCACCAGCCACTCCTCAGAAGGAAGACTGGGCAATCTTCTGTGGAGATACCACCTCAGAGACCCAAGGAGGGGTCGCTATGGGTTGGGATTGACTGGACAGCAGTGAGTTTGGTTTGTTTTTATTTTATGTGTGAAAATATGTGGTATCACCAAAAAATATTGCTATGTATAAAGTAAAATTAAATGATTTTTGTTTACTTGGTACCCATTGGTAAGCAATAAAGTACTCAATACATGTTTTAATTAATGAATATGTGTTTGATTATGTTGTTGTTGTTTTGCCGTCGAGTCGGCCCCGACTCATAGCGACCCCTCCTTGGGTTTCCGAGGCAGTATCACTATGGAAGTAGGATTGCCCAACCTTCCTTCCGAGGAGTGACTGGTGGGTTTGAACTGCCAGCCTTCTGGTGAGCAGTCAAGTGCCTTAGGCACTATGCTACCAGAGCTCCTGTTTGATTATAGACATATTACATTCAAGTTACATCTGTTTAGATTTAATTTCCAATTCTGATAAACATATATATATAATTCTGGTAAGACTGCATCTCTATTTGACAGAATGTGTCTTTATAATTATTGTTATATTTGCCAGCTCAAAACCTATAAGGGAAAATCTGATTTTTTTCAAGCATTTTGAAAGTTAAGAATAGTGAAATATATTCTATATTAATAAATGGTATGCTTTGTATCCTTATAGTCCCTTTTCCTTAAAATAAACCTTTTGCATATTGTAGAATACAAAAGCTTGGTTTATAATCCATTCGGTATTTTCAGCACTTATTGAATGGCTGCTCCAAAAGATTGTGGTAAAAATGGAAATATACAGATGATCAAGACACACAGTCCTTTTCCTACAGTACCTCACAGTCCAGGAAAGGGAGAGGTATCTTACTATCTGATAATTAGCCATATTTTAAAATCTCTGTACAGATTATTGCTTTGTGAAACAATATAAGAAATGTAAGAGAAAATAGTGTTTATGAGATCTAAATACAGCTACAGATATCAAAAAAATATTAAAATGTTATTTGACTTAAGAGCATATTATATTATATACTCTCTTGGTTTGTTTTGTGTGTCCTAGATAATTACTGTTACTAGGTTTTCATGACACAAAGTCTAATTATGACATGTATATATTTTTTTCCTTGAAGGCTGTTAAAAGAAAGTCTGGGTGGAAATTCAAAAACTGCAATGATTGCTACGATCAGTCCTGCTGCCAGCAATATAGATGAGACGTTAAGCACACTGAGATATGCTAATCAAGCCCGTTTGATAGTCAACATTGCCAAAGTAAATGAAGATATGAATGCTAAGTTAATCAGAGGTGAATGTTGTTCTAAAAAATGTAAAAATTGCTTTGCAACAGCTGTCTCATGAATAAATTCTTGTCTTGGAAATACACAATTTAAGAAAATCAGTTACTTTCTTATACCTATTTATGATAGATTCTAGTCATCATCCCATAGTGGTAGAGGAAGGTAGATGGAAAGGCAGTGGGAAAGAGAATTATCAGGTATCATACATGGAAAAAAACAATCAGAAAGTGTTTTAAAGTAGTAGAGTGTGGGCAAAGGGGAAACAGTAGGCATACAAAAAGAATTTTACAAAATACGTTACAAATATGTACAGCAAATTAACATTAAAGATATTTATTTTATTTTTTTCTTATGATAATTCCTCCATGGTCAGCTCCGTTCTTGCCTAGTCCTTCAAACCAGAGATTTGATCTTGAGTTTCTAGCATAGGCCTACATTTATGTATGCTAAATGCTGCTTTCTGTTTATGTCTCAACGATCACCCACCTATGGTAGGCTTTACATACCTGCAAGGAATCTTGATTTGCACTGCTTTGTACCTTTGCTTATGTGGAACTACCGTCTTTTCATATCCCTTTGTCTTCTGGTCCTTTTTAGCAGCAGAACATGAGTAGACCCTTTAGAGATATGAGCCAGAGTAGAATCTGTTTTCTATATCATAGTTTATTCCTTCCCTTTTGGATCTCCTCTGTTTTACAAATGGAACCATTTTCATTAAAAATAAATATTTTGAATTCCAAGTGGAAGAATCTTTGATCTTTAGCCAACGTATCTTATGAGTAAGCTTTGTCTGGGATCATCTCAGCTTATGTCTTTTGTCACAGCATCCCCTTTGCTTCTCAAAAGCATCCCACTTTGGCCATCTTACTTGAAGGGGGTCAAGGCTAGGTGGAGATGTATAGGTCATGTAACTAAAGTAAAACTGATGTCTTCAAATACTCTGTTTTATTCAGTAATATTTAAAATTCAAATAAAATAAAAGATGGGAGAATTATGCCTGATGTAGAAATTATTATACATCAAGTGTTATTTATCACACATTTTTTATAAATATTTAGAATTGAAAGCAGAAATTGAAAAGCTAAAGGCAGCTCAAAGAAACAATCGGAATATTGACCCTGAACGATATAGGCTCTGTCGGCAAGAAATAACATCCTTAAGAATGAAACTGCATCAACAGGAGAGAGATATGGCAGAAATGCAAAGGTGGGATATAATCAAAACTTTAAATTTTAAGCATGTTCCTTGGGATCATAGGATGAGCGGGGGCCTGATTAAGACACGGAGACTGTCTTCCTACCTTATGTATGAATAGAGCACCCCATCTCTAGACAATCAAATTTTTAAATATTTGTAGTTGTTCCCTAAACCTTATTGATGATCTAGCCTCTTGATTCTCAATCTTCTATATCTGAATGTCTTTAACTTTATTATTTTGTTTATCTTTGGAAAGGGTGTGGAAAGAAAAGTTTGAACAAGCTGAAAAAAGAAAACTTCAAGAAACAAAGGAGTTACAGGTATCATTTCAATTTTCTAAACTGATTTGAAAGTAAAAGAGAAATATGCCAATAAATGTATGAATTTAGTTTCTCAAATACTTACTGTATACTGACTGTAGAAAACAATGCCATAAAGAGAATTAATATAAACAATTGTTAAGATCAAGATGGTGATTCTTAAAACTCCTAAGCTAGTGGGAAAGTTAAAACTAGTTGTATTCGATTTGGCTCAACAAATAGTTATTGACTATCTGGGTTGGGCCAGGAAGAAGGAATGGCAAGGTTTTTAAGATGCAGCTGTGGCTGTCAGAGAGCTTGTAATCTTAAAGAAGGCATGGTGGTGGTGTTGGGTGCCGTTTAGTTGACTCTGACTCATAGTGAGCCTACGTGACAGAGTAGAACTAACCCTGTAGGGTTTTCATGTTGAATCTTTCTTGGTTATAGTCTTTCTCCTATGAAGTGCCTGTGTGTGTTTGAACTGCCCAGCCACTAGGGCTCCTTGAGAGAGGTTCACAGAACGTAAACAGATGACTGAAATGTGGTGTGATTTAATTAATTGAGCTATATGAAACTATCATTTTTGTTAGTTGAATATTGGCAACTGCATATGAATCAGCCCAATGCAATAAAAATATGAGGTGCTGGAGAAAGGAGGGAGTAATTAACTTTGAGGAGGGTGTTTGTCAAGGAGGGAGGGACAAGTAAGTAGTGTGTTGCACAATGAGCAGCAGAGGAATACTGTTTTCAAGGTGTGCAGACACAACATGGCCTGGATGTCCAGAGAATTAAGACATTTTATATAGCTGGAAATTGAAGTTAGTAGTAGAGATTAGACTGGACAGAGATGCAGGGTTCAGATCATGATATGGTAAGAACTTGGACTTAGGCAATTAGGAGCCACTGAAGGGTTTTAAATGGAAAAAGAACAACATGAGCGTACTTATGTTTTAAGACAGACTCCTCCAGTTGTAATGTGAAAGGTATATTTAAAGGAAGAGAGAAGACTGACGATGACAGAAAAAGTTACTTAATTAAGAGTCTGCTGTTGAGGTTAAACTCTGGTGACACAGCAGTTAAAGCATTGGGCTGGCAACCAAAAGGTCAGTGGTTCAAACCCACCAACCACTTAGTGGGATAAAGATGAAGTCTGCTTCTGTAAAGATTTACAGCCTTGGACACTCTATAGGGCAGTTCTTTTCTGTCCTATAGGGTCGCTATGAGTCGTAATTGACTCAGTAGTGGTGGGATTTTGGTTTGGTTGTGTTAAAGCAAAAGATGATGAGATCTTGGAGTTAAGCAGTCACAAGGGGATCGGATAGTGAAGGATTTGGAGTAAAGAGATAGAAAGGGGGTAAAATGATAGGCTTGGTAATGTTTTTGGATGTGGAGGTTGAGAGAAATGGAAAAATCAAGGATGACTCCCAGGTTTCTGAAATGTGTGTATTGCCACTGTGAAATTATCAGCTCACCATAGTGGTGAAGGAAAGAGTTAGATGATAGTGAGTTGAGGAATCACTGAGAGATGAGGAAATAGAGCCACATGTATAGACTTTGAAAATCTTAAATGAGAATTGTAAGACACAGAGTCGTGAGAGCTTTGAAGTCAAGAGAAGGGTTTTTTTGTTTGTTTTCTTTGGTGTTTGTTTAAAGAATGGTTGAGACTTGAACATTTTTATAGCAATCAGAAAACTCCTTAATGCAGTGAGATTCTAAAAGAGAGAAGATGACTCAAGACCAAAGGTATTGGCAATAAAAGAAATATTTGAAATGATAGGTAGAGAAGTCCTATAAGAATTCAGAGGAAGGGAAGAAAATTCCATAGGAATGACCAGTCCAGCTTCATAGAAGAGGTGGATTTGAGTTGAAGTTTGGGTCAGATTTTGGTAGGTAGAGAAATGGAAGAGGGCATTTTAGGAAGGGAAAATTACATGAGAGTAAATGTAGGAGAGTTTAAAGGGGATCAGTTTTACTGGAGCACGCAGTTTGTGTAAGGTGATAAAGTAGGAGAGATATCTAGAAAACCCAAAACAGTCAAAAATCTACTGAAACTAATTTAGAGATTTAGCATCATGGCAGGACACAAGATCAACATCCAAAAATCAGTTGGATTCGTCTACACCAGCAAAGAGATTGCTGAAAAAGAAATAAGGAAATCAATACCGTTTAAAATTGTTGTTGTTGTTGTTGTTATGTGCCGTCGAGTCGGCCCCGACTCATAGCGACCCCTCCTTGGGTTTTCGAGGCAGTATCACTACGGAAGTAGGATTGCCCAA